GTCTCTGTCTCTGCCTCTGCCTCTGTCTCTACCTCTGTCTCTACCTCTGTCTCTGTCTGTCTCTGTCTCTGCCTCTGCCTCTGCCTCTGTCTCTCTGTCTCTCTGTCTCTCTGTTTCTCTGTTTCTCTGTCTCTGCCTCTGCCTCTGCCTCTGCCTCTGCCTCTGTCTCTGTCCCTTTCTGTCTCTGTCTCTGCCTGTGCTTCTGTCTGTCTTTGTCTGTCTGTCTGCCTCTGTCTATGTCTTTGATTCTTTGTCTCTGTCTTTGTCTCTCTGTCTCTGTCTCACTGTCTTTTTGTCTTTCTGTCTCTCTGTCTCTGTCTCCGTCTCTCTTTCTCTTTCTTTCTTTCTTTCATGTTTTCTCTTTTTCTCTTTCTCCTTCTCTCTTTTTTTCTCTCTTTTTCTCTCTCCCCCTCTTTTTCTCTCTTTCTCTCTTTCTCTCTTTTTTTCTCTCTTTTTCTCTCTCCCCCTCTTTTTCTCTCTCCCCCTCTTTTTCTCTCTCCCCCTCTTTTTCTCTCTCCCCCTCTTTTTCTCTCTTTCTCTTTCTTTCTCTCTTACTTTCTTTCTTTCTCTCTTACTTTCTTTCTTTCTCGTATAACTTCGTATAATGTTTACTACTCGACTTTATTCCGCTCTCCCCTCCCCTCCTCTTTCTCTCCTTCGCTCTCTCTCTTTTTCTCTATCTCTTTCTCTCTCTTTTTCTCTCTTTCTCTCTCTCTCCCTCTTTCTCTCTCTCTTTCTTTCTCTCTTACTTTCTTTCTTTCTCTCTTACTTTCTTTCTTTCTCGTATAACTTCGTATAATGTTTACTACTCGACTTTATTCCGCTCTCCCCTCCCCTCCTCTTTCTCTCCTTCGCTCTCTCTCTTTTTCTCTCTCCCCCTCTTTTTCTCTCTTTCTCTTTCTCTCTGTCTCTGTCTCTGCCTCTGCCTCTGTCTCTGTCTTTTTCTGTCTGTCTCTGTCTCTGCCTCTGCTTCTGTCTCTGTCTTTATCTGTCTGTCTGCCTCTGTCTATGTCTTTGATTCTCTGTCTCTGTCTTTGTCTCTCTGTCTCTCTCTGTCACTCTCTGTCTCTGCCTCTCTCTGCCCCTCTGTCTCTCTGTCTCTGTCCCTCTGTCTCTGTCTCTCTGTCTTTCTGTCTCTCTGTTTCTCTGTTTCTCTGTCTCTGTCTCTGTCTCTGCCTCCGGCTGTCTCTGTGTGTCTCTGTCTCTGCCTCCGGCTGTCTCTGTGTGTCTCTGTCTCTGCCTCTGCCTCTGTCTGTCTCTGTCTCTCTCTGTCTCTCTCTCTCTCTCTGTCTCTGTCTGTCTCTCTGTCTCTCTCTGTCACTCTCTGTCTCTGCCTCTCTGTCTCTCTGGCTCTCTGTCTCTCTGTCTCTCTCTGTCTCTCTCTCTTTCTCTTTCTCTCCCGCTCCCTCCCCCTCTCCCTCTCTCTCTCTCTCTCCCTCGCTCCCTCGCTCCCTCGCTCCCTCGCTCCCTCTCTCTCTCTCTCTCCCTCGCTCCCTCGCTCCCTCGCTCCCTCGCTCCCTCGCTCCCTCTCTCTCTCTCTCTCGTATAACTTCGTATAATGTATGCTATACGAAGTTATTAAGAGAGAGAAAGAGAGAGCGAGCGAGAGAGAGAGAGAGAGTATATATATTTATAATGTATGTTATATATATATATATAACATACATTATAAATATATATACTCTCTCTCTCTCTCTCCCTTTCCCTTTCCCTCTCCCTCTCCCTGTCCCTCTCCCTCTCCCTCCTCCTCCCCCCCCCCCTCTCCCTCCCCCTCTCCCTCTCTCTCTCTCTCTCCCCCCTCCCTCTCCCTCTCTCCCTCGCTCCCTCGCTCCCTCGCTCCCTCGCTCCCTCTCTCTCTCTCTCTCGTATAACTTCGTATAATGTATGCTATACGAAGTTATTAAGAGAGAGAAAGAGAGAGAGACAGAGAGAGACACAGACAGAGACAGAGAATCAAAGACATAGACAGACGCAGACAGACAGATAAAGACACAGACAGAAGCAGAGGCAGAGACAGAGAGTGACAGAGAGAGACAGAGACAGAGACAGAGAAACAGAGAAACAGAGAGACAGAAAGACAAAAAGACAGTGAGACAGAGACAGAGACAGAGTGAGACAGAGACAGAGAGCGACAGAGACAGAGAGAGACAAAGACAGAGACAAAGAATCAAAGACATAGACAGACGCAGACAGACAGATAAAGACACAGACAGAAGCAGAGGCAGAGACAGAGGCACACAGAGACAGCCGGAGGCAGAGACAGAGACAGACAGAGGCAGAGGCACGTAATAACTTCGTATAGCATACATTATACAAATTTATACCTCTCTCTCTCTCTCTCATTTTTTTTTCTTTCTCTTTCTCTTTCCCTCCCCCTCCCCCTCCCTCTCCCTCTTTCTCTTCCTCTTTCTCTTTCTCTCCCGCTCCCTCCCCCTCTCCCTCTCTCTCTCTCTCTCTGTCTCTGTCTGTGTCTCTCTCTGTCTCTGCCTCTGCCTCTGTCTCTGTCTTTGTCTCTCTCTGTCTCTGTCTGTCTCTCTGTCTCTTTCTCTCTTTTTCTCTGTCTCTTTCTCTCTTTTTCTCTGTCTCTTTCTCTCTCTCTTTTTCTCTATCTCTCTCTCTCTCTCTCTCCCCCCTCCCTCTCCCTCTCTCTCTCCCTCTCCTTCTTTCTCTCCCTCTCCCTCTTACACTCCCTCTTTCTCTCCCCCCTCCCTCTCCCTCTCCCCCTCCCCCTCCCTCTCTCTCTCTCTCTCCCCCCTCCCTCTCCCTCTCCCCCTCCCCCTCCCTCTCCCTCTCTCCCTCGCTCCCTCGCTCCCTCGCTCCCTCGCTCCCTCTCTCTCTCTCTCTCCCTCTCTCTCTTTCTCTTTCTCTTTCTCTCTTTCTCTTTTTCTTTTTCTTTTTCTTCCTCTCTTTCTATATTTTATGTCTCCATCATTCTCACTCTTTTCTCTTTCTTTTCTTAACTATTCAACTTGACTATCCCTAAGCAGTGAAGTCACATTTGCTAGATGCATGCAAGCCCTAAATATGTTGCTGTGTGCTGCAATGATTTTCGTTTCCACCAGTTAACTCTAAAATTACATGTTCATAGTCATTGAAGCATTGGTATATGTTGATAGTTGCATTCCAGATAGTTTTCCAAGAATGTATTAAATTATTTTCTATAACATGAAATATTATCTATGTAAAATGAAATGCATATCTAAAAGCAAAGGGTGGTGTATTTGAATTTTATGAGACAATTTATATTGATAAAAAGCACAGCCTACGAAAGTATGTTTTCTTCAGAAAATATTTTCATAACATTATCTAGTTGTATTTTGCACAAAACAAGATGATTTATACTAGATTCTCCACTTGTATTTGAAACTATTGTGAATTGCCCTTTAACCTGTCACAATCAGAATGGCACCATCAGGTTCATAAGCTGCTCTTTAAACTACAAAAAAATTAGATGCTTGGGGCCACAGATGTCTGCAGACATTGCTGCCATAGGGACTTATAAAAGAAGAAGAGAAAGAATTACATAAGTATGATTGTATGCTTGATTTTGGTTGATTGGTTCTGGACAACCTCCTGCTTGAAGCTAGAACACTGGCCTAGAGGGCTTCTTGGTTAAAGGATTTAAATTTCATTATGTATCAGTTCTTTTTTCATTTGTGGGATTGAATTATCTGTGAGCTCTTCATGAATCTGCAGTTTGCATTTTCTATTCTAAAGGGATTAGCTATAGCCTCCTGTTTGTTGTGCTGGATCTTGAATTAGGCTTGAGTGAATCTTGATCTTTCTGGATTTTATGTTGAATCTTGAGCTCAGCCTGGATGGTATCACTTACATACTTGACCTAAAGAAACCACCTCTGACCCTGTCTGAAGATATTGTCAAGCTCAATCAAACACCCTAATGTATTCAAATACAGTGACTTTTCAGTGTTTTTGCTGTCTTTGAAAATTATATTCCTAGACTTGAAGACAAATAGGTGAAACACCATTAGAATTGATTCCTTACTGATGCTTCATCAGTTTCTCAGACTGGAATTGGGTGTAATTGCAATACAAGCAATTAGTTTACAGCTAGATGTAATGTAGGGATGGAGAGAGTGCAGAAATGCATAGGACTAGTTTATACCATTTTTTTTTTTTAACCCATTGCCGCCGGGTGGCACGTACGTACATGCCATGGCTGTTGTGGACCAAACGCTGGGGGCATCATGTCATGCCCATTCCCGCGCTACTGGCATGTCAAACGGAGGTTGTTTTTCTTCGGTAGTAGCGGCTTCATTTATATGGTAAAGATTTTAGGCAATGGCACCTAAAGTGAAGGTAAACCTTCAAAATTTTAATATTTTATAAATTTTAGCAAAATAAAAGCTTTTAGGTGCTATATGTCGCTCTCAAACTACCGATCGAGCCTGGCGCAAACAGGGGAAACTGCCGGTGCGCGCCAACAAGCCCGTGCATACGTAAACTTGCCAAAATTTTTACCCGTAGGTGATGGGTTAATAGAAGTGCTTTCAAAAAGTTGATAATACAGTTTAGATATAAGCATAACCAACAAGACTTCTTTTATTCCTATCCACTTCCCTGTCTACATATTGATTGACTTCTCAACATATCTCCCATTCCTTTTCCTCACCCTCCACAATAAAGAGTTAACAAACGTTCAATTCTTTTTCTGTAATCTCCCCAGGTGGTGCCATGAAGTCAACAAAATCAGGTCAGAAGTGGGCCCACGTTGCTTGCGCCCTTTGGATTCCTGAGGTGTCCATTGGCTCAGTTGAACGAATGGAGCCTATTACAAAGATTCCAAACATCCCTGTGAGTATATATATATATATATTTATACATATATAAAAACATCTCTTTTTTATAGATAAGAAAGCTGGAAAGGTTAATGATAATTAAAGATAAAAGATAATTTCCTACAAGAAATTGGGAGTATAGTCTCTCTTTTGACAAATTTTATTTCTTGCGATTGTAAATTTACTTGCATTGAGCTTTCCAGTTTAACTTTTGAATCTGTTAATGAATTTGTCTACTAAAAGAAAGTTTGGAACTCACTTATATAACAGGTTTTGCCTACACATTTTGTATAAATTGATACTGGTGTTATTGCTTTGCATTTTGTGAGGGCAGTTTTGTAATTTCCCTTTGAAGTAGCATCTTTTAATGTAATCTCAGTAGAGTTTGCTTTTAGTTACTACCATCTTAATCTTTTCAAATTATGTCCAGTATTTCTATGAAAGTAGCATGATTTCATTTTGTAACTTAACCCATTCGTCCCGGGCGTCACATATATGAGACACTGGAAAAAATAAACATTGCCGGGCTGCCCGCCAGTGTGATGCTGTCTCGGGGCTGTGCTCTGAGGCAGAAGCGGCACGCGGCCGGGCGGGCGGATAGACTCCGGGGAAGCTCCGCCCGCCGATTTTGTACCTGCCCAGATTTTTTTATTTTGGCTACAAAATGTACCCGGTGTGACTGGGTTAAGTACAATATATGTCTGTGATAATAATTTTCTCGGAGATGATAAAGGTATTATTTTTCTTAGTACCTCTAAACGGGATTTCCTCTCAATGTTTTCAAATGTGTGTATAAACAGACACAGACAACCAAATGTTATCCCAAATACCTGGGTCTTAATTGGTATTATCCTTGTTTACATGCAGACATCACTTGCCCATTATCACTCTTTTTGGGCTTTTAACAACATGCAGAAGCATTTAACACTGACATTAAGCAAAAAATGGATATTAAAATGGTTGTCATGACAAAACTTCTTTGAAAGTTAGGGATGATAATAGTGCTTGCTGATTTGAATTGATTACAGTTTTCCATATTTTGGAAAGCCTGTATTTTTGTTTTTTCAATCATCCCTATTCTAACCTACAGCAAAGTCGATGGGCACTGGTCTGTGTCTTGTGTCGAGAACGCCGAGGTGCATGTATCCAGTGCTCGGTTAAAACCTGCAAAACTGCCTATCATGTGACCTGCGCTTTCAAGCATGGCTTAGAGATGAAAGCAATCATTGAAGATGAAAGTGCCGATGATGGTGTGAAACTGAGGGTAAGTACTTTCTGCTACTTTGTTATTATTTATAAAAAAAATTATGTTAACTAAATGTGATGTTTTTTAATATATTTAATTATTTGTGATGGAAATGATTTATGGAAAGCAAAATATTTATCTTGTATTTTCAAAATTGATTAGAAAGTCATTAATATTTAGGTGAATGCTGATAGTCTTAGACATGCACCTGTAAAATAAGATTTGTCAAAGCATTAAGCTTTGTTTGATTGATCTTGAGGAGCTTGTAAAGGAATTTAAGATAAAAGATTCTCTGAAGGGTCTAAAACAAATACCTTCAATGGGCCCCTTACAACCAGCTCCATATGTTTGGCTTCCTGTGTTTAAGTTGGAAATACTCTTGCCAAATTTTAGTGTGCATATAGAATTGCCTTTTATACACAAGTTGTAGTGTGATATATAGAATGCCTTCTTTGTACCTGTTATTTCCCCATTCTGTATGTCTGAGAATGAGCTTAAATGTGTTTAGGTCTTATTTTAGCATAGTATATGTGAGTGTGAATAAATGAAGAAGTGCAAATGAGTATGAATGTGTTAGTGAGGTAGAGTAAGTGTGTGTTAAGTATTAGCAAGTGAGAATGAGAGAGTGAATGAGAGAAGCAAATATGATTGTAACTGGATTGTGCCTAAAGAAATGAGTGTTATGTAGAGGATTATGTAGAGGTACAGAATAACAGTATTTTATATATACCAGAAAGAATGATTGGCTTTCTAAGTTTTATATATTACAGTATGTCCTATTAAATGGGCTGTCAGTTAATCTGTCAGCTGAAGGTTAAGTGAAATTGAAGTCTTTACCTTTTATCTGACCGTACTTCTGAAAAATTTCAGTCTTATTGTGAGAAGCATAGTGTTGCAAGCAAGAAGGTAGGATGCGAAGCAGAGAGTGACGCGGAAGAGGGAGCCCCGAAGAAGAAGAAAGACTGGACTTCAGAGCAGAAGAACCAGGCTCGAGCTGCCAAGCTGCGGCAGATTGAGTCTGAATTCTACAAGCATGTTGATGTCCTGGAAACTTCAAACTTCTTGGACATTGACTTTGAGACAACCGAGACTATTTTTAACTACTGGAAGCTAAAGAGACGGGTAATGGGGATTTTGTTGGGATACATTATCTTACTAAGAGATGGAGACTACCACTGTTGGTTATAAATTATCAAAGGGTTTTTCAAGGAAGATAGTCTGTGCAGTGATGTCATTTATTGGTTTGATAAAGTTTGCTTGGTTAGATGGATTTTAATTAGAAATGTTTATGCTGAAATGCATATTTATAAAACACACATTTGTGTAGGTATGTGATAGTATAATACAATGATCATTTCCATTTATTTTTGTGGAATTATTTGCTGTTTGGTTTAATTAACACTTGTACTCAAACTCTCACACAGACGGTAATGCAACCACAATGTCAGGACATATAGAGAAATAGTTAGATGTAGAGAGATCAATTCACACGTGTAGACAGATGCATATAGAGAAATTCATGTGGAAAGACAAATACATATTAAGAAATAAAATATTTACAGACACACAAGTACACAGAGACACAACTGTACACATTTACTCAGAATTGAAGTTTAAGGATTTTAGGTTTGAAATAAATCACCAGAACGAGTGTGTGCTGATCTAATTTGAACTCTGTTTTCAGGCTGGTTTCAACAAACCACTCTTGACGCCACGCAGTGAAGAAATAGACCTTCTTTCCCATCAGCAGGAGCATGACATTGAGCGCATGAAGATGTTCGTACAGTTGAGGCAGTACTTGGAGAGGGTACGTGACTATAATTTTCTCAAGAAAGGACTTGAGGCTGTATTAACCCATTAGCTTTGGATAAATGCACTGCCCAATGTATAGTTTTGTTTTTTGAATTTTGTTTCCACATGGATTGATTTCACAAGTGATTAGTTAACAAGGAATCACTAATATTAATTGGTGTCACCTGATATTCCCATTCTTTGAATTTAAAAATAGAAAAAAATTATTTGCTATTTCTTTATTCAAGACTTTGGTACTACAACACTTCCATTTTTTCTCTTGACAGGTTCGTAACCTCTGCTACATGGTCAGTCGTCGTGAGAGACTCTCCAGATCCTTCCTTAAAACTCGAGAACAGACCTTCTCAAAGCAGGCATCCATTCTGGCCAGCAGCAGCATGAACTTGACGCAGCAGGAGGTAGATGCAGTGATGCAGGCCAATCATGGTCCTTCTGTATATGATCAGTTGTATTCCCACCCTAGTGCTCCTAGCCACACGCAAAAGCATTTCGAAAAGATTGTAGCTTGCATAGCTGGCACTCTCACAGAAAAGGTGAAACCCAAGAAGGAACCAGAGAAGAAGGATGTCAATGGCCTTATTAGAACATCAAAAGACAAAACAGACAATCCATATAAGAAAATGTACGTCAATGGGGCGGAACAGCGCCGGTCACGCTCTAGCTCTCTTTATAGTACTTCTGACTCCGATTCTTCTCTTGCTTCCACAAAATGGTCTCTGCCTACGAAAGGTAATACTCGTTATTCTGTTTACACAAGTAGTGAAGAGGAAACCAACAAAGAAAATCACTCAGTCAAGCAGGAGCCCCCATCCAGTAAGAGCAAGTTACCGTTCCTTGACAGTAGTGACAAAGAAAAGCCTAAACTTGAGACCATTAACAGACCTACGAGGGGGAGAGTTGGAAGGAGAAGAGGGACGGGGAGAGCTAGTGCCATTAAGAGCAGGTCGTTCAGAGACCGGATGCCGCACGGCTCGAGTGAGGAAGACGTTAAGAAGTTTGATAATTTGATAACTGACAAAACTGTTAAAACAGAAACTAATGCCTCATCTTCAAAGACAGTGAGGGAGCGTCCCAGTGTAGATACTTCTGAGGATGAGGCAGAACCAGTAAGTAAACCCAAACCACAACCCACCAAAAGAAGAAACAAAAGGAAGGTGACGCCATCTAAGTTAGACTCGAGTGTAAGTAGTGAGGACGAACCAGTGGTGACAGTGGCTACAGCAAAAGAGAAAAAGCCCAGTCGTCGGGGCAAGTGGTCTAAAAATATTCTGAGTAGCCAGACTACCAGTGTAAGTTCACCAGTATCTGAAATTCCAAAGTTGGAGCTTAGTGATGATGATGAACTGGGTCCTCCCACCTACAAGCTGTCCAGTGACGAGGACAACAACAGTGAAAAGAGTAATGAGCCGGCAGTGATGAGCAGTGATATCTTTGGTGTAAGTGACCGGACAGACACTAGTTCTGACAATGGTCGGGATACGGCTTTAAGTAAAGGACCAAAGAAACATGATAAGAAGAATGAAAGTAGAATAAGTGATAGTGATGTGAACAGTGATGATGAAAACAAGGAAAGTACCACAGATTCTCAAAACCATGCAACACTGAAGACAAAGGCAGCTAAGAAAGAGTTTACTCCAAAGATTGAGGCAAAGGCAGAGAGAATGAACAAAAAGAAAACAGATAAAGTTGGTAGAACAGTAAGAAAAACAGCCAGTGCTGAAAGATGTAAAAGTGAAACAAGACAGTCAGAAGAAATTGATGTGGAACATGGAGTCACCAAGAGCGAAGTTGAAGCAACTCCAGGTCATATGTTTGTGCCACAGAGGAAAGCTGCAAAGAAAGCATCGGAACTCATCACTAGTCAGAATACAACAAGTACTTCAACCAGTGCAACTGCAGGTACAGCTGGACCAGCAACTGCAGATGTGGCAGATGTTAAGAAATCTGTAGGGAAACCAGTCAAGGAGATAAAGGAAGATCCAGACGAGCCTGAGATCATTGAAGAGAAGAAGGTACTGGAGGAGAAGAGAATAACACCCACTAAAGGAAGGAAGAGCAAGAGCACAAAGGAAAAGAATGAGAAAGTCAGTGAAGAAAAGAGTGAATCTTCTGATGCTCCCAAGAAGAACCTCTTTGAGCCGCCAGAAATTCTGCCGTATGTCCCAATGCGGCAGGCTGCTAAGAAGGCTGCTGAAAATCTGAAGGGCGGCAACAGTAAGGCAGGAACAGCTGCATCCAGTGGCACAGAGGAGTCCGAGTTGCCAACAACAACTCCTGTTGTATCACCTATTAAAAACAAGAGAATCTCACGGATGGAAGGGAAGTCTGGGCCAAGATCAAAATCTAAATCTCCTCGTGCAGCTAAGCCTGTATCGTCAGCTACTGTTTCAGACTCAGGCTCAGAAAGTGATTCTGATTTGAAGTTCTCCAAGTCTATATTTTCTGACAGTGATGAAGAGAGTGTCATCAAAAAAGACAAAGCTGCAAAGGATAAAACTGATCCTCTTACTGAGGTCTACAAAGAAGCAAAGACAGACAAGCAGTTTTTTCGTGGCGACATCTATATACGACCATACCAAAGCTCCTCAGATGAAAACGAGGAAGGAAGACCAGCCACACCCGGAAGAAAATCCCTCCTATCTCACACTTCTAAATCAGCTGGTGATGAGTTTCCAGATCTCTCCAAAAACCAGCTCTTTCGAGGCCCCTCAAGCATATCAGGCGACTTACACCTCACCTCTGACAGCGATGAGAGGGAGGATGAGAACCAGGAACCGGCAGCTGGAACCCTCCGGAAGGCCCCTGACAAGAAGCTTAAAACTTCCGAAGGGCGGCCTGAACATGGGTTTCAGCCGCCGATTACTGAGAGAAGTGAATCCGGAATGTCCAATGAGACGGAAGACCATCGTTCTAAATCACCCACCAGAAGAGAGACTGGATTGGAGTCAAGATTACGTCAAAGTGGGCCTCAGTGCAGACCGAGAACTCCTCCTGGTGATGTCTCCGTGCAAGACTTCAGAAGTAACTCTCATGCACCATCGAGAGGACGAAGAAGAGGAAGAGAGAGAGAACCGGTTCCACTCTCCCAAGACATTGGCACCAGTCATAAACTCCATACCAGAAGAGAGGTACAGTCTGAGGAGACACTCAAATCCATCAAAAAGACCCCAGAGAGAAGCAGCCAAGAGAAATCTGGCACCTCCAAAGGAAGTACCACAGAAAAGGAGGAGACACTAAAGGAGAAGGAAGTAGTACAAAGGGACAGAAAGGAGTTCCTGAGAGAAAGGAAAGATCCAGTTGTGGAAAAGAAGGAAGTCATGCAAGGGAAGGAATCATTACAACAAAAGGCAAAGAATGATTCACTAAGAGATAGAGCAGTTGGTGGAAAAGAGAAGCAGCTTGTTTTGCCTGGAGATAAGGAAGTCAAAGCTGCAGAGAAAGAGTTGTTACCTGAAATAACGAACTTACAAGGAGAGAGTAATGAAATTATAATAGAAAAAGAGGTTCATAAAGAAAAGAAAGAGTCTCAGAGAGAAAAGGTTTTATCACCCAGAGAAAAAGTGGTATCCCCCAGAGAAAAGGGTCTGTTCCAAAGGAAGAAGGTTTTGTCTCCAAGAGAGAAGGTCTTGTCTCCAAGAGAGAAGGTTTTGTCTCCAAGAGAGAAGGTTTTGTCTCCGAGAGAGAAGGTTTTGTCTCCAAGAGAAAAAGTTTTATCTCCGAAAGAAAAAGAAGGAATGGTCCCTGAGAAAGCCATATCACCAAGAGAAAAGAAAGACAGCCTAAGAGGAAGAGACACCAGTAGAGAGAGAGGAGAGTCACCCAAAGAGAGAAGAGAACCAGTCAGAGACAGTGATTCTCTTGAAGAAAAATATGACAAAGAAAAGGAATCTCCAAAAGACAAAATAGAAACAGCTGAAGAAACCATGCCTGTACCATTTAGTAAGCCAGATCTGCTAAATGAAATTGTTGAACCCTCAAGAGAAGCTGTGGATATCTTTGGACAGAGAGAAAAATCTGCTGAGAAGGCTGAACCTGTTCTGGAGAAAGATTGCCAGCAGAAACAAACAGAACAACCTGCCAGAGAAGAAGATTCGAGAGTGGCAGCAGAAACCCCAGGTGACAAGAGAGAGAAGGATGCAACTCCAAAACCAGTAGAAAATGTGAAGAGAACAGAACAGCAACAAAAGTCTGGTGTGTTTGGATTCGTGGGTGTAGATTTGGAAGTTGAAAGATTAGATGATATTGTTGAAACATCAGATACTGAACCAGAACCCAAGAAAGTTCGAATTGGGGATAGTGATGAAGACTCCATAAATGTTGTAGGAGAAAAGCGAGTTGAACAGCCGAAGGACAGTGGATATAAGAGTGCAATAACTACACCTGAACCTGTAGATAGAGTTCATGCAGTGTGTAATGACATGGTAAATGTAAATAGTGTTGTAAATAATTTTATGAGTGATGAGTCACGTTTGGAAACTGTAGATGTGACTAGCAAGACCCCGGTGGTGTTGCCAACCCCAGTGGAAGGGAAACAAGTGCTTAACAAGTTTGTCTCCCCCACTAGAAGAAAGAATCTGGAGGATGTTATAGGCGAGATGAAGAGACAGGCTGAAGCACAACCTGAAGTACAGCCAGAAGCACAAGCTGAGCCCACCAAACCTGTACCTCCCCCAGAGAGACAGAATGAAGTCACAGCCTCCTCTCCTCCTCACTCCCAGGCCAACTCTTTCTCAGTTCCCCCTGTGCCAGAATCCTCAGTAGCCTCTCCTCAAGCATCATCTGCTGAGGCTTTACCTCCCAAGAGTTCATCCTCCCCAGGTGCTAACTTCAGAGAGCAGTGGCGAGGGCAGTGGGAGAAGAGTCCTCCTCAACCTGAGCATAAAGTGGATCCAGGGACTGGACCGCACTTGCCTCCTCACCTTCCCATGTCTGGCCTTGAGTTAGGCCTGCCCTCCTCCATGTCAATGCTTGATCTGCAACGAGCCATGTACTCTGCTGATGCCCAACATCAGTTGTTCAGCGCCATTGATTTTTTGAATGCCCGTACCATGTTTACCAGTCAGTTTCGTCAAATGGTAGAAGCTGGTATCCATCCACCTATTTTCAATACCACTCTAATACCAGCATACTTGCAACAGCATAGTGCCAATGAGTTAGCTGCTTTAAGTCAACAGCAGTATCCACCACCTGCTCGAGAAAATCAGATTCCAGATAAAACAAGTATGTGTTCTCAGGAAATGTCCAGATTGTCAGCACATGATGACAGACCTCCAACTCCAGAACTGCCGACAACAGATGCCAAGGCAGGGAGCAGACAGGCAACTTCAAGCAGTAAAACTACAAAGCCACTATCTTCTCCAGGTAGTGTGATGACTGTGCCACCTCTCTCTTCTCCTTTGGCTCAGAGTAACAAGGTAGTCCCAGGTCTTGTTTCTCCTACAACCAGTAGAGGACAACATACAAGAGAAGAACAACCTTCTCCAGTATTACCAAACAACAAAATTGCACAACCACAACCTTCTCCTTCAAGTATATATAATAAAAATGAAAATGTACCAGTTTCTACAGCATCTCAACCACCGGCAACAACTGTAGCCCCAACAGACATTTCTTCTACAAGTCATTCAGTATTATCGTCATCAGTCAGCAGAACAGCGAGCCAGCCTCAAGTATCACCTCAGTCCAGTAAATCATCACAGGCACCTGTCCTATCACAGCAGTCCAGCAAACCTTCACAAGCTCCTGTAGTATCACAGCAGTCTAGTAAACCATCTCAGGTGCCTGTAGTGTCGCCACAGTCCACAAAGCCTTCTCAAGCTCCTGTAACAGCCACCACAACCTCAACAGAGAGCAGTGTGACCATTACAAAGGTCAGCAGACCCCTGGTATCTCCGGCGAGAAATTCTGTAGTTAGTAGCAAGATGAGTATTGTCCCTCCTGCTTCAAACTCAATTGTGTCTGTGGCTAAGACGATAACTACAACTACAACTACTACGACCACTACTAGTCTAACCTCCGCCTCCGTAAGCAAATCTCCACTGCTGTCTGTGACGAGCCCCACCACTGTACCCAGTCAAAAGGAATCGCCATTGCAAATTGCTGTTGAAGTACCTGATTCAAAGATTGAAACTATTACAGTAGATGACAGTGTTCTTCATCAAAAGGAAGAGCCTGCTCCAAAACGCGTGCCAATATACATGCAAGAAGCCAAGTCACAGAAAGCACCCGAGAAGAAGTCTCCAAGATCCCAGGCATCATCTCCGAGATGGGTAAACAAGGAAAGCACAAAGGCAAGAGAGAAAAAGGGTAGCAAAGTCAACAGAGCTGCATACAACAAGGGGCGAGGCAGGAGCACTGGCAAAGGAAAGGGTCGGGGTCAAAGCCCAAGATTCAACTCTATATCAGTGCCCAAAGAGCTGGTTGGAACAGTGTATGACTTTGATTTTGACAACGAATTTGATGATGGCCCAGCCAACAACACCCTGGATGATTTGCGAAAGTCCAGAGAAAAGCGACAATCAGTTGACACAACACCTCAACAATCGCTTACACCAACTTATACTATTGAGCACAAAGAGCAAACTAAAAAGTCAAGCAAAAAATCAAAGTCATCACAGAAAGAGAAGGGGGTTACCAAGTCAGCAGATGATGGTGACAAAGTTGCCAAAATACTTGAGGATTACAGGAACACGCAAAACTCCCAGCTACGGCGAAGCACGCACTCTCCTAGTCCACCTCGTGGCGATGACATGCTAGAGGGCCCATCAAAATCTCCAGACAAAATTCAAGATATCCCACAGTTCACTTCAGAGTTCACCTCAAGCATTCCTGAAATCAAGTTTACAATATCAAACTTGAGTGATGTCAGAGATTCAAATCCAACATCAGAGTTGTCTGTCTTGCCTAAGAATACAGGAGACGATAGTAGAGTGTCACTGACAGTGCCAACAGCTCAAATTGGAATCGATGAGAGAACAAACCAACTCAAGCTTAAGATCAAAGGACCATATGCTAACTCATACTCGGCAACTAATACGTCAGCTGCGCCACAGGAAGCAGTGGGAGCTCCTACTCCAACTTCTACAACATCAACGTTAAGAAGAATGAGGAAGAAGGAATTGATTCGTCAGTATTGCTATCAGGATCAAATACCAAATGAGCCTGCAGACTCTGGACCCATTAACAGCACTCCAAACCCTCCCCCACAATTAAGAACTGGCATCACCATTCCAAAGGCTGTTGCTTCCATGCCTTCTATACCAACACGAGAAGACTACAAAATGTACACGCAGGATGAAACCCCAACAGGAGGTGGAGGTGGAGGCAGAAGAAAGAGACCGCCCCGGGAATTAAGACACTTGGACTGGTCTGTGATGGAGGACTCTGGGAAGAGAAATTCGGAAACGACAGAAGGTGGCGATGTGATAAGAAAAAGACCAAGAGCGGCAAAGGAAGCTGCAAAAAATCTAGATGAAAAAGATGTATCAAGTGCCAAACCTCCTCCAAAGTTACGTATTAGTTTAGGGAAGAAGGGAAGTGAAGTTACAACAGTAACAGCAGACTCCAAAGATTTTGGTGGAAAGCAGCGGCCGCCTAAAAAGCGGATTGCTGAAGAAAATGCGATGGTGAAGATCAAGAATGATAATATGAAATTTCGAGAGCAGATCATGGCAGACTTTGATAAAGGTGAAAAGAAGAGTGGGGTGAAAGGGACTGACCGAGAAAAGAAAGCCAAGAAACGCAAGATTCTTCTGGGTGAAAGCAGTGGAGATGGCAAGGATGGTAGTTGTGATGACCAGCACGACGTGAAAGTCATCACAGGAGACAGTACCAATGCTCCCAAGTTAGTCATAAGGTTTTGGAAAGCGAAGAGTGAAAGTTCTAGTGGTAACAAGAATATCAAGAGTGAGGCAAATAATGCCGGAGGTCACAAAGAGGAGCGGAGTGATTCGGATTCTGTGATGAATCCATCCTTAAAAATTCGATTATCGGTGCCTAAACTAGACTCTGAGTCAACGAAGGAAGAGTCCTGTATTCCTAAAATCCCCCTCAAAATAAAATTTTCGAGGATATCAGATGGCTATGTTGCTTCCAACACTCCGCGCAAGTTAGAAGCCGACGAACAAGATCAAGGGCCAGGCCCTCCTGCACCGAAACCTCCTGACCTTCCCCCAGAACCTTTACATGAGAAATTAATTCCTGAAACCTCACAGCCATCGCCACCATCATCATTACCCCCACCACCGACTCAACAGCAGCCGTTACCGCAACAGGAACAGCAGCAGCAGCAGTACGTACAGCAACCACCACAGCAACCAGTCCAACATCCCCTATCTGAGGTGACTGAGTGTCCTCCTCACCTTGAATCTCGGATACCACAGGCAGGAAACATTCCCCTCCCCCTTGGCCCCTATGACTCCGGCTGGCCACCGTCATATAGTGCAGCAGAACAACTGGGATTACCTAAGATGGACTACGGCCTCGGCTCCTTGAGTGCGCCGTCGAGATCAGAGTGTCCAGAGGAAATGTTTCAGAGATTAGAGGCTCAAATAGCAGCTACAGGAGGAACTGTACCAGAAGGTGGAGGCTCCGCCAGCAGTCTCGGCCCCAGACAAACTTCTGGACCACCTCTCCCAGACGTCCCGTCGTTACGCCATACACTTTACCCGTACAAGGAAGGCTCTGACTGCAGATGATAATTGCTTCTCTTTGATAGTAATAACTTTAATATTTACAATAATGTAACAAAACTACCATAATTATGTACAAATGTAGATACCGTTGGTGTTGCTCACTCGATGCACGATGTTAGTTACGCAAGGATTAAATCACTTGCATCTCATAGCCTCATCCAGGCCGTCAGTTTTGTTCTTTTTATTAATGTAATGTTCTGCACTGTCATTTGTTAGGGAAAAATACTCGCTCCCCACAGGGATTCTACCTTGGTACAGCTACACTCTGTTGGCAAAGATTGTTGATGTGATCGTCGGCCCGCGCGGGACCACCACAGCATCCCCCTCTCCCCCCCAAGCCATGTTATGGTAGTTGTTTACTCACCTGGGGCGTCCCTCATCCCCACCTTGCTGTGTGTGTGACGCCCATGGGTCATTTGCTCCGCCCTCGGTATCACGTGCTGATTTTTATCAAATGGCCGTTTCAGCCAGGTGAATTGTGTTGTTTCCTCGCCTGTTTTACTGTCACTTTTGTATGGAGTGTGAGGGTGGTTGTTGTTGAGCGTGGCAGTGTTGTGGGCACGGCGCCCCCGACCCTTGGCCGGGCCCTGCACCATCGGAAGGACCCCTGCCCCCCGGGCCTCGGGCGCCGGTCCTGTCGTCCCGGGGAGGACTTGTGTTCCCATATTTTGATATCTTTTTTACCATTGTAAATAGGAAGGAATGTACAAATTACTGTATTTGCTTTTTGTAATTTTATTACTTTTGTACAGATTTTAGTTCTGATTGCTCATCAGACATAACTTATGTTTTATCAAAAGTTGGATTTATTTATTTTTTGACTTCTCTAAATGTCACAAATTTCCATGCCATTACCATCGATTGATATTTTTTAGATTTCTTCGCTTTTTAATTCTACTCTTCTTTGTTGTAAGTACACGTTGTTTCCATGGAGACTTTTGAGTTCTTTATGTAATAGAAGGCAGAAGATTGTAATATATTTCTTGATCCCTCAACAGAGAAATAGTCTTGTAAATCTTAGTGTCATGTGATACATTAATATTATTGAAATATAAATTTTTTATGTTATATA